GTGCCTTTTTGAGGACTTCAACAAATAGCTCATGTTGGCTCATGTCGTGTCCCATAATTGTCGCTCACTTACTCAGGTCTCCTTATGGTGGCAGGCTCCAGTCTAACCACTTCCTCTGTTCTGTCTCTTTTCTTGAGATTTCCCTTCTCTGCGACGTTCCTCACTGAAGCCCTCATACCCGGGCCACACACATTGGGCACCACCTGCCCCGGCTGGTGAGATCACTCAACGGGAATCCTGGGGAAGAGAGTGAGAATGGAAGTGACAAGATGGAGAGAAATGGAGAAAGACAGTCCTCTGATCAATTCTGGGTTTACTAGACAGATCAATAGGGCTTAAGTAGGGTGAAAGCGCCAGGGGCTGGGGGAGTTATTGTCTGCCAGGCAGTATGTGTTGCAAGGAGAGAAGTCTGAGGCTGGTACTCTCTTGACTGCAGACATGGGCATATGCTTTACAAGGAAATAGAGAGATGTAAATAAGCAGAAACTTAACTGGGTGTTAGTTCCTAAAATAGTAACAGAAGGCTTCAAATGGCATTAATATGCTATCTTCATTCAGGGTCCTCTACACCTGATGAAGACTCTCATGGTTTGTCCTCAGGTCCACCATTGCTTGCATCAATATATTCTTCCCTTTTCTCCCAGATACCTTCTTCTTCATTCTCGGTGAATTCTGAGCTGTCACGTCTGCAGTCTGCATTGGACCTTGTTATCTTGGCAACATGCTTCACCCATGATTGCCCACAACTGTGGATGCTCTCAGAGATTTTGGTATCAATGAGTGGGCAGGGGCTTTCCTGAGAGTCATGCATCATGGACAGATTCACAGGGAACATGGGAAGGATTCTTGCAACCCTGTTAATTCCCTGTTAAAAGACTGAGCTTGTTAACTATCTATGCAGGTTCCAAATTCTGCAAAGTGAAAGACATCCATCTGCCAAACCTCATTTTCCAAATGCCCTTAGGATTACAGCCTGCTGGCAATGGAGTTTGGTTATAAAAGGAATGAGTATCCCACTGTCTCCATGGCTTGTTGCCACGTGATGGAGAAGTCCTTTTTTAAACCTTTGCTATTTACATAGTATTTCTTATGAAATTCTGAGGCTTCTAGCACACTTCCATTTAATAAACGATCAATCTCGTCATAGCCTTGTGCTAGTGGGTCTGGCAGACCCTTATGGGATCTGATATGTGTAATGTATAGAGGATTACTTCTGTTTCTGATTGTTTCCTGTAATTGCATAATAGTGGAGTTAATTCTATATTATCAGGAATGAATTCTGTGTAAGACGACTCTCTCTGCATATTGGGAATCAGTAACTATATTAAGAGTTCTGTAAAATCCATAAGCACCATGAGAATTGCATATAATTCTGCCTTCTGTACAGATGTATATGGACTTTGAACTACTTTACTTACCTCACCTGCTTTATAACCTGCCTTACCTGATTTGTTGGCATCAGTGTAGAAGGTAAGAACTCCAGAAATGGGAGTTTGTCTTACAATACGTGGAAGAATCCATACTGTTTTTTTATGAATTTAATTCTGTCAGTTTTGGGATAGTTGTTGCTAATCCCCAAAATGTCAGTAAGAGCTATTTGCCAATACTCATTATCCTTCCACATGGAGGAAATTTCTTCATTAGTTAAAGGTACTATAATATCTGATGGATCTTTTCCAGTCAGCTGAAGAAGTCTTAATTTACCCTTTAAAATCAAATCAGAAATCTTTTCTATATATGTCCTTAACATTTTATTCTGTTTATGTGGCAGAAATATCCACTCCAATATGGTGTCTTCCTTCTGCATCAGAATCCCAGAAGGGTATTCTCTGGATGGCAAGATAATCAGAATACATTCTAAATCAAGGTTTATCCCGATCTACATGTGCATCCAATATTCTGTTTTCTACCCATTGTAATTCTTTTTCTGCCTCAGGGGGTAATATCTGTGGACTGTTTAGGTCCTTATCACCTTTAAGGGCCATTTTAAATGCTTTAAGTCATGTCCTTCTACCCCAATAATCATCTGCAATTGAGAAATTTCCCCTAGCAGCTTCTGAAGACTATTAAGAGTTTGATAACGATCCCTTCTAATTTGTACCTTCTGTGGCCTGATTCTTTGTAAGTCTATCTTATAACCTAAATAGTTAATAGAATCTCCTCTTTGTATGTTTTCCGGGGCAATCTGTAACCCCCATCTAGGCAGAACTTCCTTCACCATGTCAAACATACCTTCTAGAATTTCCTTATTGGAATCTGATAAAAGAATATCATCCATGTAATGATAAATGAGAGATTGTGAAAATTTCTTATGAATTATTTCCAAAGGTTGTTGTACAAAGTGTTGACATAAAGCAGGATTATTTAGCATCCCTTGTAACAAAACCTTCCACTGATATCTTCAAACTGGCTGTGAATTATTAAGAGTAGGTACAGTAAATGCAAATTTTTCTCTATCACTTTCTTGTAATGATATTGTGAAAAAATAGTCTTTCAGATCAATTACTATGATTGGCCATCCTTTAGGTATCAAGGAAGGCAGTGGCATTCCAGGCTTTAGAGAGCCCATAGGCTGAATTACCTTATTTATGGCTCTCAGGTCTGTCAGCATTCTCCACTTACCTGACTTCTTTTTGATAATAAATATAGAAGAATTCCAAGGACTGGTAGATTCCTCTATGTGTCAAGCCTATAGCTGTTCCTGTACTAACTTTTCTAAAGCCTCCAGCTTCTCAGAGGTCAAAGGCCATTGTCCTACCCAGACGGTTCATCTGTAAGCCATTTTAATGGCAGGGCCTTTGGATCCTCTGAAGGTCTATCATTTGTATTTAGTTTCTGTACAGCCTGGTTGGTTGGTAACCGTTTCCCATAATGTCTTACCAGGTATTTTCTACTATCTAATGATTGTACATAATTTATATCTGACATTGGAGAAATATTAATCTGGGTATTCCATTGCTGTAAGAGATCATGATCCCAGAGATTTATAGTTATATCTGCCACGTATGATTTCAGTATCCCTTTCTGTGCTTCCTGTCCAATGCAGACCACCAAGTGAACACTATCAAACTCTAGATAGAGTTCCAATTCCCCAAAAAAATGTACATTTGCCTCCCTAAGACGCCATTTCTGGGGCCAAGACTTTTGTGTAATAATAGTTAAATAAGCTCCCGTGTCCAGAATCCTGTTAATAACCTTATTATTAATCCTTACCTTCAAATGGGCACTTTTTATCATTGATGGAGGTCTGCCAAAATATGTGGTTCTTGTCTTCTCCAGCCACATTTGATTATTCATCACTAGCCAAACTAACATTTAGAGCAGTATTATTTTTCACAATAGGTAAAGAACTATCTATTTGTCCTGTGAGAGATTGTCTTCCACTGCTACTGGAAATGACTGGACCTTTCTTAATGTGGGGGCCTTAGGCGTTTCCTGGTCTTAACGGGTTCCCTTGCATGTCACTGGTCGATCTACACTCATTACTCCAGTGTCTGTCCTTGTCACATCTCCTACACAATCCAGAAGGCAGTGGCCTTTTATCTGAGGGATCATTAGAATTTGTTTGCCTACAATTTCTCTTTATATGTCCCATTCTACCACAGCTGAAACATCTAGTTTCCTGATGTCTTCGTGGTATCATGTAGAGGGCGTGTCCTACCTGAGGTTCTGGTTCATAGTAGTGATAAACCCTGGTCTCTTGGTACCTATGTTGACCCCTGTAAGGTGTTTCTCCTTCCCAAGCCCTTCTGTCATCTCCTCTGGAACTCTTAATCTCCTGTTGCCTTTTGAAACCTCTTGAGATAACTTCTCCTGCCCAGACTCCAGCCTCTTGCACATTATAGTCAATGTTGGCTGTATGCAAAACCCATACATGTCTTTGTGGTTAAGGGCATGCACTGACTGCTCTTGCTGAGGACCTGAGTTCAGTTCCCAGCACCCACAGCACAGAGCTCACAAACACCTATAACTCCAGCTGCAGTGTCCACTCTGGTCTCCATGGGCATCTGTATATGCATGGCATAAAATCATACAGACACATAGATAAAGCACAAAATATCCTTTAAGAAAATGAGGTGAATATATGTTTGTAAACATTGGGAACCAAGGCAGAAGGACAGCAAGTTTGAGGCCAGCCTGCTGGGATTACAGGCCCACACTACCATATACATCTCCCATTTCTAATTATTAGTTTACTTTCAAAATTGTTGTATTTACTTCTTGGACACCCAGGACATAGGTGGTTAGAGAACAAGTTGTGGGAGTTAGTCTTCTCCTTCCCCAATTCCTGCTGATAGAACTTAGGATATCAGCTTAGTGACAAGTATCTTTACTGACTAAGCCATCTCACTGGCCCTATTTTATTGTTTAATGCTTCCAGACAAGGTTTCTCTGTGTAGTTATAGCTGTCCTGAAACTTACCATTAGACTAGTTATCCTAGGAGATCTGTCTGTCTCTACCTCCTAAGTGCTGAGATTGAAGACACCATGCCTGACCTATTTATTTGTTTTAAAACAGTGTCCCGTGTGTTCCAGGCTGGCCATTACTCCTATGCTATGAGGGTGAAGATGACCTTGACTTCTTGATCCACCTGTCCAATCTCCAAGGTTCTAGGACTTCAGATGTGAACCTACAGCCTGGCCTTTGGTGGTTGATGTTGTTTAAAACAAGTCTCACTCCGTAGCCCAGGCTGGCATAAAATGTACTAGATATCCCAAGATGGGAACAAAACAAAGGTAATTCTCCTGTCTCTGCCTCCCATGGGTTGGGATTCTGGATCTGTGCAACCATGACTGAAACTTTTCTCACTTCATGGCTTTGATGAGAATGTCATAAATTAGTACTCAGTGTGAAGCCTTCCCTTCTATATCAATTCTCATTTCACTTGAGAAATCTGCTTTATTTCCAAAATGTATGATGTTAGTTAAAATACAACCAGGTTCCCAAAAGTTCACATAATCCCTCAGAAGTCTCCACAGGCCTCCAGGCTAGCAGAGGGTCATTGCTTCTCTTTAATGGGAACAGGACCTGGTCGAGTGACGGCCAGAGCATCATATACAGTGGACTCCTCTGGGGCTTCTCCTGCCTGGGAGCGAGGAGGTGCAGCTGTCCCCTGTCTGAGTGACCTGCTGCACAGCTGGGCATAGACCACATCTCGGAGCTCTTCGGATTCAGCAGCCTGGAGGGGGAGAGAGCGAGAGGAAGGTACATGCTTGACTTACAGGATGCTGAAGCCCTGGGGAGTACAGGACCAACCTGAGTGTCTGTCTCTCTGCCCTCTTCTGCTTGTTCTTCTTTTGTTTCTGGGACTTCTCTTGACATGACAGAAGGTAGGACAGCTTCTGCCCTCCTGAGCCTGGAGTCTTTCACCTGGGCATATGTCTGTTTCTGGGGGTCTTCCTCAGGTGGTCTCTGTAGCAGGCAAGTAGTGAGGTCACATAATGTCACCCTGTTCCCCTGTGACTTTCCTCTGGCCTGTTTTCCACAGCATGGCCAGAGTGACCCCTTTATGTGACAGCATCCCTGATGGGGTCTTCTAGGGCTTCCTTCCTACAGTTCTGGCCTCTTATCCTGACACTCTAAACCTTGCTGTCTTGGCTGTACCCACAGAGTCCATCTTCCTGAAAACACATTTCTGGGGTCTGAAGAGATGTCTCTGTGGTTAACAGCACTGATTGCTATTGCATAGGACCCAGGTTTGGTTCCCAGAACCCACATGGCAACCTACATTCATCTGTAATTCTAGTCCAGGGTATCTTATGCTCTCTTCTGGCCTCTGAGATCCTCATGCAGGCAGGTGGAGCAGAGAAAAATTGCAGCCCAAACACCCCCTTTTCCACAACACACCCAAACTAAAATACAACACTAAAATACATGTGTCTGCCCAAGTTCCTTTGGTTCCTGCCTGCAGTTGCTGGTCCCTTAGATGTTTCTGTGGCCTTCTCCATCAGGGCTGCCCCCACAGATGACAACAGGATAGATGCCAAGGAGTCAGAAAGCAGAAAGAAGCTATGAGACCTATGATCCCAGGAAATGCAGGGCAGAGTGAGGTCATAGCGCACAGGAGCCAGGTAGTTGCAGAAGGGAGTGGTCAGCTATGGATGATGTTGAGGGCCAAGCAAAGGATAACTAAGAAGGCAGCCTGGACTAAATGGGCCCTACATTCTTAGCACTGCAAATGGACCTCACCGAACTGTCCAGCTTGACACCATCCTCAGGTTTCATTTTCTCCACTGAAGCATCTGTCATGGCAAAAAAAAAAAAACCCATAATGACTTCTGAGCAGAGTCTAGGGATGTCTCAGACCTCTAGTTTCCTCCCTTCTCCTAGTGGGGACAGAGAACCAGGGAGTGTGGTGGTATTCCTGTGTTCATAGTGTGAAGTTCAGACCCAAAGAGCAAAGACCTCAGAATCTCTTCACCACCCCTGCAATGCAGAGAACTCAGAGTTCACCACCCACCAGGAACCCTCTTTATCTCACATAGGATTTCTTCCTGGTTGGCAGCAGCTGGGTTGGATCTGCAAAGAGAAGGAGGTGTCAGTGGGCAGTGAGTTGTGTCAGGAAGGTGGAGGTCTAGGTTCTTGGTCATGAGTTACCTCTTCTTGTGTCCTCTGTCTCTGGTTACTGGCTTTGAAGCTCCTGCAGGATGTTGCAATTCTATCTCTTTCTGATCTGCAAAGGAGAGAGGAGTCTCAGGTGGTGGGTGGGGGACCCAGGCATGTGCAGGGAAGGAAAGAAGGGATTTTTACAATAGGGTAAGTGAACAAATGTCCCAGGACAGGGCAAAGCTCACAGAAACCCTGACATTGCACAGGTTCTGAGATCAGGTTCCTTCTGATCTGAGATCTGCCAGTGTTTCTAGACTTCCCAGTCCCAGTTTGAGGAACCCATCACCACCTGAGACTTAGGTCACCCACAATGCACTCACCATCCTTCCTGAACTTTCCCTGACGCCTTCTTTGGAGAAGGAGAAAGATGAGAATGGAGAGTAACAGGAGGAAGGCCACAGAGACTCCAATCAGAGCCTTCAGGTACATTTCCAGGCCTGAGGTACAATGACATCATGAGTAGGGACTGTTGATGCTTATCTGAGCACCTACTGTGTGACAGAGCCATGGTGGACCATTGCCCTCATCATCTCCCATCCTCACAATCATGCAACAAGCAATCGTCTCTTCTTCTATCCCCACAGCTCATCCACCTCAGATCACCTGACTGTAAGTGGCAGGGCTGGGAGTTGAACCCAGGGACTCTGACTTCCACCTCTTTTCTCTCCACCTGAGCTGAGCCTCATGAGCTGGAGGGAAGGAGCAGGAATGCCCTGCCATGGTCCTGTGTCCCAGCCTTGCCCATGTCACAACCATGGTGGGATAGACCCACTGCAGACTCAGGCTCTGCAGGCCTCCTCTGTTAGTAGAGGTGCCATTCAAGGCCAGAACTGAAAGAAATTTACAAATATGGGCCAGGCCTCTCCATTTATACTCAGAGAAGTAGCAGCCAGCTCAGAATGGGAAGGACTTGTCCAAGTCAGCATCTCCAGAAGCAGCTGTATCCAGCCCATAACTAGCTATTGCCCATCTGGGTACCACATCCAACAGGATGGTTACAGAGCCTTCTGGGGCCTGACTCAATGAAATGAGAGGTGATTTCTCAGGACCTGCAAGGCAGATGGGGAGGTGAGTGTCTGGGATCCCTGCTCTCCACCTTACCCACCTCCCCATCCTCCAGACTGAGAATAAATGTCTCTTTGGACACTATCTTCTGAATCCCAAAGTCCTGGCCTTCTGATGTTTCTGTTGTGATCTCTGTTTGCCTCCCATACTCACAAGCTAAAAGACAGAGAAATGAGGATTTGGTGGGCTCAGGCGAGGTAGCCTAGGGATGGATCCTTCTCCCTCCACTGAGGTACCTGATACCTACCAGCTGGTGGCAAGGGACTTGAAGGTGGTGGGCTGGAGGATACAATGGGTCCTAGGAAGCAGGAAAAGAGAGGGTGAGGATTAGATGTTAACTAAGGGACCCGCCTCTGTTGTCTGTTCTAAATCTGCCCTGTAACCTCCCCAAGACCATCATGCTGTCTACCCTAAACTTACATTGCAATAGAGGATGGAGTGGACACTACTTAAGGGACCCTGCTGGCATCCACTTCTCTGTCATGGAAAGAGCCTTCTACTCACCCTTCTTGTTGTCCCTTTAATCCCACCCAAGTCAAGGGCTCTTCCAGGGTTTGTATTGTAAGTCAACCTGAGAGTTCAGGGTCACCTCACCTGAGACAGAGAGCTCCACAGGGGCACTGGCATGTGACAGCAGGTAGGGAGATGAGTCTTGAGACCTGTAGCACCTGTAGGTGCCTGAGAGGGCAGAGGTCACAGCACTCATGGGGAATTCTGCCTGGAACTCCCTATCTTGGGGCTTGGATTTCATTCGCTGGGGTTGGTGTGCTGCTCCCTCCTTGGACAGAATGAAAGTGTCTGTCGTGTATGTTGACTGACACAGCAGGGTCACGTTGTCTCCAGACTGCACTGTTGAGTTTGGCTTCACTGAGAGGGAAGGACGGTCTGGAAGCTGTCCTAAAGAGAGCAGAGATAATGAGAGGCTGCCTTCAATGCTCTGAGCTGAGATTCCACAAGGCCTGCTCTAAGCACCAACGACTATATTCGGTTTTCACTTCCTGAACCCTAAAATATTCCCCTATCTCTGCATCAGTTCCTGAATAAGAGTCCTGTCCCTCATCCCAGCTATCAGCTCTTAGGTCCTCCATGAGAGTTTATGCAGAGGTTAGGAACCAGATTGAATCTATTTAGATCCTCACCTGTGATCATGATGTCCAGGGGATCACTGGAGGCTGACCACTCAGAGGAGAGGTTGTGTGCACCATAGCATCTGTATTGGCCTCCTGTAGAGCTGCTCACATAGCCCAGGGTGAAGGTGGCCAACAGGAGCCCATCCTGGGTCCTCTGGCCATACTGCTTGGTGAAGATGTCTTCCCCCACCTTGTACAGAGCAAATCTGTCATAGTTGATGTCAGAGACACACTGCAGGGTGAGGCTCTTCCCAGGTTCCAGGATATGGCCTTGGTGACTCAGCAGGGAGGGCTTCTTGGACAGACCTAGAGGGAAGGTGACAGCCTAGTGACTGAGGAGATGGTTTTTACCAAACACCTATTCCTTCCCATCATGCCCTGCGCATGTCACTGCTTCTCCCCAGGAGTGGGGCTCTGGCTCAGCAATCAGGATCTTTCTTTTTCACTCTTTATCTGCAACTACCCAGTGGGACAGGGTCATGGCAAAGGGCTTAGGGTGTCAAAAAAGATTGGTCAGTGATGGGGCTGACTCACCTGAGATGTGTATTTCCAGGGGCTCACTGGGTGCTGACCACAGCTGTGGGGTTTGGTTGTAGAAACCATAGCATCGGAATTGCCCTGTGTGGTCTGCTGTTACATGATCTATAGAGAATAAGGCTTGGTACTGGTTAATACTGTGTAGATACTGTGAGTTCATGGAGCTGGAGACCTTCTGATCTTCCTTGGTGAGGATGAACTTGTGATACACTGCCTGTGAGACACACTTCAGAGTCATGTTCCCCCCTGAGGTCACCACAGGGCTGTGCAATTCTGCCAGGTGTGGTTTAGTGTCATAGATTCCTAGGACAGAATAAGCAGTCTGTTACATGGGCTCTCAGTCACAATGTTCTCAGGGCTAGACTTTGGGAGGGAATACTCCTGAGAGCAGTGCCTGAAGCTGAGACTGTGTGTGTCCCCTCACCTGTCACCACTAGTTCCAGGGTGTCACTGGGCTCTGACCAGCCAGCTGAGCTGTAACAGTAACAGCGATATTGCCCCCCACTGTCCTCTGACACAGAAGGAATGGAGAACGTGGACTTGTTCCCAGGCTCCTTTGGGGTCTGTGTACCCCAGGTTTGTTGGCTTCCCTCTTTATGCAGAAAACACATTTCTGCATCCAGGGTCCCCTGACAGGAGATGTTCATGGGGCTTCCTAAGGCAACCACAGGGCCTGGCTTAGCCTTGATGGTGGGTTTCTGGAGGGTCCCTGCAAGGAAACAGGAGAGAAGGAGGTGGGTCTGTCTGAAAGTGGCACAGGAGAGTCACACTTGTGGAAGGCACTTGTTTGTAATTAATTTAAGCTCCTGTTAAACATCACAGCCTCACAGCAGTTCTCTCCCTTTCCCTCTCCCCCAGACCCACTGCGCCTATTTTTTTTCCTTCAGAACAGAGCAGTGTTCCCAGTGATATTAATGGAACACGACACAACAACATGCAGTAAGACTAGGCAAACACCCTCCTGTTAAGGCTGGAGAAGGCAACCCAGTAGGAGGAAAAAGATCCCCTGTGCAGGCAAAAGAGTCAGAGACTTCCACACTCCTGTTGTTATGAGTCTAAAAAAATCGCAAGTTATTCTGGTTGTGCTTGTGCATGCCTTTAACCCTAGCACTCAGTCGACAAAAGCAGGCAGATTGATGTGAGTTCAAAGCCAGCCTGGTCTCCAGAGTCAGGTTCAGGACAGGCAGGGATACACAGTGACCCTCTAAAAACAAAAATAAAAAGGAGCCAGTGTAAATCAGCACAGCCTGTGTGCAGAGGGCTTAGTGAAGTCCCAAGCATGAGCCTTGGTTGCTGCTTCAGTCTCTGTGAGCCCTCATGGTTCCACTGAAGTGTTGTGTGGCTCCTACAACCCTTCCTCTCTCTTCTGTAGAGTTTCTCCTGTTCTTGTGGATGCTATTTAAGCTGATCCAGAGTAACAGAGGGCACCATGAAGATTCCTCTCTCTCTCAGACCTTATAGAATATGCTCTCACTATCTTCCCTGGATTCTGTATCTTGTGTTACTCTGTCTCCCATGATCTGTGTCAATGGGCTCAGGAGCCCTGGCTCCTCACAGTCCACACACCAAGACCTCCCTCAGCACCTCTGTTATATCTGTATCATTTTGTGGAATATTTTTGGCTTCTCACCTGAGAACAGGAGCTCCAGAGGGTCACTAGGATCTGACCACACCAATGGGCTGTTACTGTGAAAGCTGTAGCATCTGAATGTCCACCTTTGACTGGAGGTCACAGGGCCCACAGGGAGCCTGCCCTCATACTGCCAAGTAGACTGGTTATACTCTGAGTCCAGTATCCTGTATTCTTGCTGTGGTCCTTCCTTAATCAAAATGAACCCAGAATATTGTTGCTTTGAGCCACACTGGAGGGTGACTTTCCCTCCTTCAGTCACCACAGGGTTGGGCTGCGCTGAGAGACTGGGTTTATTGTAGGCCCCTAGGAGAGAAGAAGAATCAGTTAAATGCCCTCAAAGGCCCTCTTACCCTCCAAGGCTGTGTGGAGAGTCACCCCTGTGTACAGAACCACTTCTTGACAGACAAACCTGAGGCTGTGGACTTTGTGAGTCTTCTCACCTGTCACCACCAGTTCCAGGGCGTCACTGTGCTCTGACCATCCATAATGGGTCCAATATTGACAGGTATATTGCCCTGCTTCCTGAGGGACTATTTTTGAGATTGAGAATTCAGCCTTGTTCTTAGGATTTGGTGGATTTTTTTTGTTCCTGAAATGTCCATTTTTATACAGACGGTATTCTTGGGCTCCCATGGTTCCCTCACACAAGAAGGTCACTGTAGTCAGCTCAGAGACCACAGAATCTGTTTGTGCTCTGAGGATAGGTTTAGGGCGAATTCCTGCAAAGAAAAGATCAGGTAGGACCCGGGACATTATCTTCTGATTTTAACCCACACTGTAACACTTAGCCCTCCCCAGGGGCAGCACACACACTGCCCAGCATGACTCCAGGAATGATGACAAGTGATGTCAGGACATCTGCAGACACTCACTCACCTGACAGCACTGGTGTCCCATGGCCCAGAGTCAGCCCTGGAAGAGAGTTCCCTGTGAGAGGTTTGTCCCTGAAGCTTGAGAAGGTCCTCCCCTCTGCAGAACCTCCTGAGACCCTGGGGTTTCCTAACTGACCCGTGCTGGGCTGTGGGGCAGCATCAATCCCAGAGCACAGCATCCCTCCCCATCTCCACATCTCACCCAGACAGAGCAGGACTGTGAAGGAGACGGTCATGGCATCTCCTGCTGGAGGAAACCACTGCGCTTGCGAGGCTGCTACTGTGCTCATGGGCAGAGCTACAGAGTCTGTCTGAAGGGTCCGGAGACATAAGGTGTGGCCTCTGGAGGCAGGGCCCTCCCCATGACATGGTTGTGCTTCAGCAGCCCCACAGGAAGGGGAACTGCCCTCCTCACACACCAGGCCCTGAATTCCCTTCGTTTGTGTCTAGGTCATGCAGTAGACTCCATCAATATTTAATGGATGTCATTTCCAAGATCCCAACAGTGTCTGTCTCATCTGTCCTCATCTTTGTTAGCACCAGGGGGTAGCAGACATGAATGAACATTACACACAAGAAATACAAATTTCCATGTAGTCTTGCTTTATTCCTTTTCACATTTTTTTTTTTTGTGTGTTTTTCGAGACCAGGTTTGTCTCTATTGCTTTTGTGGCTGTTCTGGAACTTGTTCTGTAGACCAGGCTGGCCCGGGT